TATATATATATATATATATATATATATATATATATACACATATTGCATGCTAGTCATGTGAGGGTCATTTTCTCTTCATTGTCATTAGACCCAAGGACCCAAATCAAAATGAAATGCAAACCATAGGGACATGGATGTAGTTAGGGGTCTTTTGCTAAACGCTTACTCGGTAAACGTTTACCAAGTCATTTACCTTACCGGATAAACATGACATTGACCGAGAATCTTACTCGATAAGAGCGATGACAAAGAATGAGAGTCTTACATAGTAAATAAGGGTGATGGCTTTTACCCGATTAGTGCTTACTGAGTCAATTATTACATATGATGTCATTTTGATAGACTAGAATCTTACCGAGTAAGATAAGTGGAAGTGTTCACCCTTATCGATAAGCGCTTATCGGGTAAGCGTTAAAACAACCTCTCAGTGAAGTCAAGGGATGAAAACTAAAGTTTTATTAAATCACAAGGACTAAAAATGTAATTCACTCAAAAATCTACTATTACCCTACTTTGTTAACTAAACGTGGAGACGTCATCTTTTTTCGCATCATCATTTAATCTATATATGCACCCCCAATTTTTACATAACCACCTTTTAGAGCTATTCATTGATACCATACCTTACTTAGGGGTCGTTTATCAAACATTTATTCGGGTAAGTGATCATAGTCACATTACTTTACCAGATGAACATGGTAAGCACCAAAAATCTTACCCGGTAACGACTCTTACCACGGTAAGCGCTTACCAGGTAAATTGTTGCATACGATACTGTTTTGGTGGACTAGAATCTTACCCAGTAAGTAAACGATAGTGTTACATTTTACTAGTAAGCGCTTACCGGGTAAACGTTTGATTAAGGGGCCGTTTATCAAACGCTTACTTGGGTAAGTGAACACAAAGTCACATTACTTTACCAGATGAACATAGTAAGAACCAAAAATCTTACCCGGTAAGAGCGAGACAAAGACCAAAAATCTTATCCGGTAAGTAGAGCTGTAAACGAACCAAACGAACACGAACAGAGGCTTGTTCATGTTTGTTCGTTTAGCTTAACCGAACAAACAAACGAACACAAACAGTAAACGAACGAAAATAATTGTGTTCGTGTTTGTTCATTTAGAAATCAGGTGTGTTTAGTTATGTTCGTTTGTTACCATGCTAAACGAATGTAAACGAACAAACATAAACGGACTGGTTAAACGAACGTAAACAAACAGGCTTAAACGAACAGGTCTAAACGAACATAAACGAACGAACAACAATACTTGTCATTCAATTAACTATTACACGCCAATTATCCATAGTTTAAACATACACAAAAGAATCACCATTCATCAACCATCATTAATATACCAATACTTAAAACGAATACTTAAAAGGCTTTTTAAAATTTGAATTCAAACTAAATAAATAAAAGTTATAGATTAAAAATTAATATATAAACGAACGAACATTCACGAACATAAATGAACGAAAGGGACTCTTGTTCATGTTCGTTCGTTTAAATAAACGAACAAAAAGTGTTGTTCATATTCGTTCATTTATTAAATAAACGAACATAAACGAACTTCCCACTGAACGTTCGGTTCATTTACAGCCCTACCGGTAAATGAGGGCGAAGAATCTTACCACGGTAAGCGCTTACCGGGTAAATTGTTGCATACAATACCGTTTTGGTGGACTAGAATCTTACCCGGTAAGTAAACGATAATGTTACATTTTATCAGCAAGTGTTTACCGGGTAAGTATTTGATAAACGGCCCCTTAGATTGGAGGAACAGAAAAAGAGTAAAATGTGATTTTTATCATGAAAATACCGTGATAGTAGGCATCTCTAATCTCAAGGGATGTCATGATCAGTCGAAAGAGGTATATGATTACACAAGTTCGTAACAATATACAATGAGAACAATGAGACTTGATTTATATCCAAACATTACTCAAATAACAACTAACCACGAAAAAAGAATTGAAACCGAATACCAATATCCAACAGAGACGAAAAGGATGAATAAGCGAATCGTGCTTGGGTCAAATTGCAATGCTAAATGAATAGATCTACTTTACTAAGCATATTGAACCAACAAGGAGCACCACACTAGACATTTAAGTCATAAACCATACCAATCAAAACTTTTAACATGTCGTACCCAAAGGTGGGTTCTGGATGGTAAGATGTACCCTATCCCAAAGAATAGATCTATTTCCGTGTAAACCTGACTTCTAACCCAAAAAGTAAAACCCTTGAAATGGATTGCTAGAGGACAAGGATCAACAAATAGATCTACTTGCCAAACATGAACTCAGCACAAAAAAACTATTGGTGGGAGATAGAAGGGAGTCTTAGGGGCCGTTTATCAAACACTTGTTGGGTAAATGCTTAACGGCAAGAGAAATCGCCCCCACTTACCTTATCGTGTAACATTCTCGGCCAATAATGGATTGTTGGTAATTGTCTTAAACCGGGTAAGAGTCTTTTCCCTCTCTTACCGGGCAAGACTTGCGGTCGTTGCTATGCTTCTTACCAGGTAAGATTCTCATGCTTAATCGGTAAGATAAGTGATATCAGTAGGTGCTTACCAATAAGGGTTTAGTAAACGGCCCCTTAATCTCAAAACCATGTTCTTAAAAGGGTAAATTGCATGACATGATTCCTATTTCATGTAACGTACTTCCAAAACTTTCCATCTATGTGATATCTCAAACATTTAGACCAAAGTGTGTTACATAAAATAAGAATCAAATGAAAGTACGTTGTATTTTCATGCATTTTCATACGTAAACTAGGTATGCTAAATGTTTGAGATGTCACGTATTTGAAAAAAGGTTTTGTAAGTACGTTAAACAAAACAGGAATCGACCATAATGCAATTCCCCCATGTTAAATTTATTTGAAAAGGAAAAAAGGATAGCAGATCCAACCCAAAAGAGCTTAATTGAGGCCTACTCATTATGTTAAATGATGGTTAGTTTAACCAGGTTGGGTTCCGGTGATAAGGAGAGTTAAGATGAGAAGCGTAAGAAGGGATCTCCACCCTTGGATGCACATTAGAATGAAATGCACCGGATCAATCCTCGTATCAAGCGCGATTCATGGGTGCGTTTGAGATTAGGTGATCAAGGGTCCAAATCCCTTATGACGCTTCTCATCTTAACTCTCTCTCTCACACGATCCTTCGCGTAGCTTAACGTGTGCGCAAGTGAGGCTCCTCAAATCAAGAGCCAAGACATTGCTGCAATGAAAGCTATGGAGAGGATGTTCAAAGGGGTGATTAGCAACACAACACCCTGATCATGATTGGAAATCCTCGTTATATGTCCGCTAGCATCATCAAAGAGGGAAAATACAGACTAGACTAACGATTGGAGTATTTTTTCAAGTACGTACAAGTAAAAACAAGGAACAAAAGAACAGCCAGAGTTCCTAATTGAATTTCAGAAATCCAAAAGGAACTTACACCTGCAGAATTTGGCAGGAATCAGGGGAGAGTTGCTGCAGGAGAATCTTGATAGCCTGTGATTCCCAAGATCCGAATTCGAGTGTTTGGCTGCATTCATAGCACAAACAATCAAATACAATCCATTCTACAGCATAGACTGCATTTGAGTTCTGTGGACTTTCTTTTATGATTTGGGGTAGCTTGGACTTTCTTATTTTGTCCTAAAGTTTTTCAATAATTTGTATCCAGACCCGTTCCTGACATTTTAAGTCCCCTGAGGGTAAGTAAAAAAAGGGCCCTTTATAAGTACGAAAAATTCTACAATCAGTGGTTTTATCAGAGAAAACAAAATTGAATACTACAAAGTGCTATTAATTCATATCAAACAATTTCTTCGAGTATATCTAGACATAAAATCAATCAATAATAGTTTGATAAATCAGTATTATCCACATCTTTTTCAACACATAATATTTTGTTCTATCATTAAAGACATCATACGATACATATATCTTTTATATCTAGATTGACATAATTTTTTACCGTTCAGAGTAACATTTTTTGTGACACAATATAAATCATTTGGGTTTCTATCTCACCCATGTTATCAAGGTTTTCTGGGAAAGAAGTCAAATAATTAATGGGACCTATCATATTCAAGCTAAGGTTTAACCCTACACTTGACCACAAGGGTTGTGGCGTAGTGGTTGAGGTCTCGGAGGATGTCGTGGAATATCCTATCTACCTAGGGTTCGATTCCATACACAACAATTTTGGCCACCGAGTTTATCAGGCCACGATTAGTCCATGCATAGCCTGGGACACCCTTTCAAAAAAAAGGTTGAACACTTAAATGGGATCTCGTGATGTGTAGTGGAGTCCCAATTAAACATGAACTAGGGGAGGGCAGGACCAGCCAAAGGCCCAAAAAAAGGATAGCAATATCAAACTCACGAGCTTGAAGGCTAAAGTTTAAAGTCGTAAAATGAACTGTTGAAACACGAATCCAGTAGATAGAAGATCACAATAGCCAATAATCTTTTGGTACCAAATAAAAGAACTTAGAAAAGCAGTAAGCAATTGCAGAAAACAAAGGAACATTTAACTTTACGAATTTTCTTCTCGAATTTAATTAATTAATATATTTTGGGCCCTTGTTACTACTAAATTCTTATTTGAGCTATTACTATATACTAAAAAATTTAGGCCTCTTTATCTACAAAATTCTTTTGGACGACTCATATATACACTAAAAATGGGCCCATATTTTTCTGGGTCCTAGACGCCCGCCCGTCCGTCCCTCCCTCCCCCAGTAACAGCCCTGTTTGTATCAATCTGAAGTTCAAAATAAGTATGTTGGACATACATACTTAAAATATACCTCTTTTTCCTACAGAGGATAGTGAAAATTTGAACTTCTAAACGGAAATGCATTTTCCATTGAATTCCTTTCAAAAGAGTAAACCTTAGGGTCGTACATCCATAACCAAAAACTAGTAAATAGCTTCACTGAGCAGTCTAGACTTGGTCGACGTGCTAAGAATGTGATGAACAATGGGAACATATTTCCTATTGGAAGATGGATCTGCACCTCCTTGGTCAAATGGATCTTCTAAACGTCTATGCTATTCTTGGTACTTTGACCAAGTCTCGTTTGCTTAGTGAAGTAATTTAACAAATTTTGGTTGTCATGGTCCAGTCCTGGCCCGTTTTAGTTCGATTTTGGAACTGTGCACAGCCCTGCTTAACCTATATAACCAAACTGACCCAATAAAGCCTAGGGTCCCGCCCGGCGGGGTGTATGCAAACCTGACGTCTACCCACAAAGAGTAGAGCAGTTGTTTCCGTGAAGTCCTGTTTAACCTAAATCTGACCACAAAAACGACATGGCATTACCTTGGTACCAATTATAACATCAGCTCCTTATTTTAATATATATATATATATATGTGTGTGTGTGTGTCTGTGTTTGTATAAAAGTGGTGTCTAAAGAATGCCAACTCAATTCTCTTTTTATTACTGAATAATATGAACATGAAATTCATTTACTCATACAATATATAACACTCCTAGAAATGCCTAATACAAGCATCAAGATCACATGCATCCTATGCCTTTCTTCCAAGCCTTCCTCTTTTTTATTTGAGCATAAAGGTTGATTACCGGCAACCCCGGTCAACCACTAGGAACCACATGTGAAGAGGCATTTCATAACTGACTCAACGGCTGAGGCTAGCGGAGGGATTCAAGCCCGTCTCTCGCAGGATTCGAACCTGAACCTGTTGTGTATTTGATCAAAGCCGCTCTGCCCCTTTGCCAACTAAGCTGCAGAGCCAAGGGCAATCTTCCTCCTTTTTATATTTTCTCAAACTTCCTCTCTTTCACACACTTTTTACAACTAGGGGGCCTTCACGGAAACAATCACTCTACACTTTTCACAAGTAGAGGAGTCTACAAAGGTACAAGTGACGGAAAAGTAGAATACCTGTCTGTGGCCAATATTCCTCCTGTAATTCTTCTTCTTCTTGTACTTGAAAACCACCACCTTTGGATCTAGCCCCTACACAATCAGTGACCAAAATTAGTGAGCAGAATATCATTAGAAAACAATTAACATCATGATTTGAATAATATATTATTTGTAGGGAATGAAGTACCTGTTCCTCTACTACGGCATGTACAGCTGCATTAGGCACCACAGGCTTCCCAATATATGTGCTGGTTTTTGTACCCACGAGTAACACCTTGTTTAGAATTATCTACATACACCAACTCGCGTCAAAAGATAAACAGAAAATAGAAATTAGGCGAGTTTTAGTCCCAGCATCCAAGTATTTAGATTCCCTCTATCTGAAAGAAGAGTATGTTTCAAATTTTAGGAAGAATTGAAAACGATTGATTACATGCATATTAACAAACTAGATCTTTACCCAAATATTAAGAGAATCCTACATGCAAGTTGACCTTTATTCTATTTATATTATCGAGCATCTTCCACAGCCATAACACAACGAAGGTTGATTAGCAAAACTAACAGTGTAGGTAGCATATATAAGAAAAAAGTAATATAGTGCTAAAATACGCATAGATTGAACTCTCAAAGGCATTACCTTGTAAAGCCCATAAGTATTAAAAGTATGAATCTACCAGCATTTTCATGGTCTTGTAGAACATGGATACGCAAAGAAAATTTAGACATAATAGGCCACTATGATAGGCAAAGTAGCACTTCAAAATATAATAAATTCAGCATGATACAAATTTCAGTCAATCAACACTTATTTTAATTGATAAGGCCTTATATGAACCAACCATCTGGTACTCCAGAAATGAAGTTCAGATGTAAATTAACAAAAATAAGCAAACTTGAAGAATGCGACTCGGACAACTAAGCAAAGACCATATAGAAATACTTGATACTAGTGTGGTAAATAAAAAAAATGAATTTGAAGTAAATGAAATAAAGAAGAATAAACAGTCCATATGAAATTATGTTTAATGCTTACTTTGTCATCAACATTTGCACCCTTCAGCCTTTGCGTGTACAGAAAACGTCCTGGAAAAACTATATATTGTCGACCACCAATCTGAACAGCAATCAAAACAGAAACAATAATTAATCATCCAAAACCCCCATAATCAGGCTGTTATTCTTACGCATCTTACAGATTTCAGAGTGATCACAAACCCACGATGTTAACACATTAGAGACAACAATTAGTTTCATACACATAAGATATAAAAGGAGGCACAAGAGCCCACATACACTTTTCATGATTGGCTGCAAATCCTGCTCTCCCTCTCAACCTACACTCTCCATTCCAAACAAAAATAGGGATAGTTCATAGTTTAACTCATACAGTTGAAGAACTCTGTTTTAAATATGAAATTGATATAAGTAAATATCAAGAGATTTTTTCATGGCAACTTGTATATATTGATCTATTTTGCACAAAACTCAAACTGACCCATAAAAGGCCCAGATATATTTATGAGTGATTAGCATTTGTAACTATTGTACTTGGCTTTTGCTTTCACAAAAACCATTTTAGTTGCAAAAATCCCAGAACAAACACTACAACACGGGAAACATGAACATTTCCCCCCAATTTCTGCAACTACAATAGTTTTTTGAAAACTATAAAGTACAAGGGATTAAAATGTTCAAGTTTTTTTAGTAGGATGCGACGTTTTGAAAGCTAAAACCAGTTGCAAGGTTTAGCAATGTTGATTTTAGCAGCTGAATACCAAGTTCTAAATTGTAAATAGATAATAGACAACTACAAATTGGAGTTGTCACAAGAAGACAGCTGAATCACCTGCATTGAATGTAGAGGAGAAGACCTTCTTAAGGCAGCTTTAGCAAGTCTGCTATTGCAGAAGTAGCTAAGCATCCCAATTTCATTAAATGGAGCTTTGAAGATTTATTGAGATCAAAATCATCATTTTTACATCATTTCAAATAGCAAATTTGCTATGGCTGCCATGTCATACCAACCTAAATAGTAATTCACAATGTCATCTGCAGATCAATCCATGGAACTCCCAATTCGTAGTTTAAATTACTATTCTAGGGCACTAAGCACAATTGCCTTTGAATGTCAAACAGGCAGATGAAGAAATCAAAATGGAAACAAAGTGTTCAAATACAATAATTTAGTTTTAATTTGCAATAACATTCACATCAATTAAGGAATTGACGGGGGCCCGCACAAGCGGTGGAGCATGTGGTTCCCCTACAGTATCGTCACCGCAGTAGAGTTTAGAACGAAACAAAAAGCGGATATAGTCGAATGAGAAGGGGTGCCTCCTCAGACAAAAAATAAATCCAATTGGTTTAAATGAAATGTGAATAATCCGTCCTTGAACTATCCATGTGGCTGTAAAAGTGCAGAGAGCAAAATCCAACCCCTTTTACAAGAAATTCACATAGAACAAGTGGGAATTTTAGGGTTACATAAGAGGGTCAAATGCTAACGTCTCATAAACTCAACTCACCATGACAACAGCGAAGACTTCTTCTCCTTTCGGTTCAGTTGTACTCAGGGTTTCTTCGGCAGATTCTGGCTGCTCAGGTTCAGAAACTTCGTCTTCAGATACAAGAGTTGAAGGTTCAGTTTGGGAAAGTTTAGGTACAATCCTCGATGAAGATGATGGTCTGTGGTAAGAGGGAGTAGTGAATTGGAGAGAAGAAATTGAAGAATGAGGAGGATTACAGGTGAAATTGAACGTAGTTGCAGTTATTGGAGCATAAGTTTTGTGGGTAAAGATGGATGTGATGGAAGGAGAGCAGGAGGATGAAGGGCAAGAGAAGCTCATCGCCATTTTCGAAGTTTTGCTCGATTACTCTCAATCCGTTTCCTGCACCTATCTTATCCAACGCCCAGCACATATCGGTATCTTATTGCAACATTTTCACTTTTTATTAGATATGGTCTCACCTTTTAGCAAAATACCTAAAAAGCTTTTTTTTTTACTAGTAGTCGATTACATGTTTGAGATTGTTTATAAAAATAATTTATTGATTTATTTCAGTGTGGTATTGGTAATAAATTTTTTTGAGTATTTGGATAAATAATTTATACCAGTGTCAAACCTATAATAAAAAGTTTTTGAAGAAGTTAAACTTTTCTGACTTGTAATAAATTTATAATTGTTTTTTGTAAAAAAAATATAAGTTGTTTCAAATAAGCAATCTCAAAACACCCCCTATATCATAAACAGAGATATGGACTACCTTTATGGCTTTATCACGGCTATGTTGTGGGACAAGTGAATCAGAGATGCGAACGACCTTTGACTCGACTTAGATCGTAGACCAAGTCGTCTCTACACCACCAGATCTACTCACGGTGTATTATCAAAATAGAGGCTTTTCCATTTGAACCACTGTCTAACTACAAATTATTATGAGTAGATTTCAATTTCGGTCCCTAACATGTATGATTTTCAAAGGAGGTCATCAATGAACTTTAGAAACTCGGATTTGGTCCGTCACGTTTGTTAATTCTCAACGATTTTGGTTTCTTCGTCTAACAGTTGTTAATTTTCTTCATTAAGTCCAATTAAATGAAGGGTAATTTAGTCATTTTATTATTTTTGTTATATTAAAAAAATATTAATTATATGAATTGTGAGAAAAAAAAAGTGGCGATTATACCTTTTTTTACAATTTAAAGTTAAAAATATGATATGTTTTTTAATTTAATATAAAATTAAGTAAATAGCGAAAAAGATTAAAATATCATTCATTTAACTGAACTTAACGAAAAATATTAACAACAGTTAGACAAAAAGACGATATCCGTTAAAAATTACAAAAATTAAGTACCAAATTTGAACTTTACTCAAATTATTAGTAAACAAAAAAGAAAATTATGTTTTTTGCCTCTGTAGTTTGTTAAAGTTTGCAATTTTCGTCCCCATAATTCTGAAATTACAATGTTCATCCCTATGGTTTGTAATTTTTTGTTGTTTTCGTACCTACACTTTAAATTTATTGTTGTTCTTGTCCTTGTATTTTAGTTTTTTTGTTGTTTTCGTCCATGTGATTCAAAATTTATTTGTTGTTTTCGTCCCTATGCTTTATAGTTAATTGCTTTTTGAGCCCCTCATACTTAAAGGTAAGAATTAGCCTCAAAGACAAAAAATATCAATGATATACAAATCATAAGAATAAAACTACAATTTCAATTCCATAGGGATGAAATCCACAACTTTTAACAAATCACATGAACAAAAAACATAATTTATTTGATACAAAATATTTTTATTTAATCTTTGTTAAACGTTAGTTTTTGGAAACTTCTGTTACTTTTTTTAAATATAAGATCAATCAACAAAATGAATAACATAATATTTGACATTTTTTAAAATCTCATCCCACATTTGATCCATTTAAAAAAAACTCTTAAAACTACAATTTAGTTTTCAGTTTACAATTAAATTTTACATTTTACGTATCGGATAGGTACACTTGCAATATGAAAAAAAAAAACGTCAGAGTAATATCTCACAACCACAACCTACATTTTGATCTTTTAAAGTTCTATTTTGGCACTTTTAACCTAACAGCAAAATTTTGTTGCATGTCAATCCAAACACATTGCTCCACCCATTTTGACACATAGTAACAACAACTAGTATGTATTGACATTTGCTTGATGGTGGGAAGGGTCCCATGAAATTACTTCCTCTCACATCAAACAACTCTACTTCCAAAATCCCATTTAAAGGCATTTCATTTCTTTGAGAAATTAAACCACTTCTTTGACATTCATTACATTTTTTTGAAAAATTGTGGGCATCTTTGAAGCCAATAAAAAATAGATTGTATAGTCTTAGTTGTTGTTTTTTGGCCTCCAAAGTGTCCTCCATGTGGTGCTTGGTGGCAATGCTGTAGAATTGTTGTCACTTCAGCCTCTAGATGCACTTTCTTATAATTTAATCTGCACCAAGTTTAAACAAGAAAGAATCATCCCAAAGATAAGATTTAGTATCATGGAGAAATTTCTTAAGCACGGGGCCAGTATAATCCACAGGTTTTATGCCACAAGCCAAGTATTTTGCTATGTCAGCAAACCATGGTGGCTCGGATTCTTGTAGCACAAGAATTCTTTAATCGGGAAAGGTTTCAGTGATGTCCCCTTCCACTTCATCAGGTTTCTCTAACCTTGACAAATGTTCAGCCATTTGGTTGTCTACTCCTTTTCTATCCACTATCTCAAGGTCAAACTTTTGCAACAACAAACCCATATTATCAACCTAGGCTTAGCATCCTTTTTTGAGATCAAGTATTTAATGATAGTTGTGATGCACAATCACTTTTGTCCTATTAAATATGGTTTGAACCTCCCAAAGGCAAAAAACCACAACTAATAACCCTCTTTCAATTGTTGTGTACTTAATTTGTGCTTCATTCAAAGTCTTAGTTGCATAATAAATGGAATGAAAAACCTTCTTTGTTCTTTGACCTAAGACAACACTTACAGCCAAGGTTCTAAATGGCGTGAGGCGTGGCATAGTGACGAGGTCAAACCTTAAGCATTATGAGTTATGGCGAAGCCATGGCGTTTTCCAAGGCATGTCTTAAGGCGACAAATATACATATGTGTGTGTATATATGTGTCAGTGTCTTGAACAATAATAATTAAGTTATTAACAATTTGAATTCATATAAAATGATAAACAAAAGAAGAACCATGAATTGATAATTTGATATCAAATATATAGAGTTTACAAAAATGATATCAAATATACAAAGCAAGTCATTGTTTATAGTCCTGTTTGGTAATCAAACAAAAAAATCAAAGTAATGAAATAAGAGAACAACAAATGAAAGTAATCAAACAATATTTTTTTCGTATGCTGAGTAGTAATTTAAGGTTTTTTCTTTTTTCCCATTTTGTTGATTTAAGTATTTGGTCTATATAAACTATAAAATTATATTTACATTTACCCCTATTCAAGTTTTAAAAATTACAAATTTTCTTCTACGCCTTCCATAATGCGGCATGGCATGCCATGGCGAGCTCCACGCCTTATATCTACACCAAAGGGGTTAACGTGGCGACAAGGTTGTGCCTCGGTGCCATAGCACACCACGGCGCACTTTTTAGAACATTGCCTACATCTTAATTACTGACATCACACATGATCTTAAAATGTTTGTTCCAATCAGGAGCAACAACTATTGGTGCAGTCACCAAAGCTTTCTTCAAAGTGTTGAATGTATTTTTATATTCTCCATTAAAATCAAATTTTTGATCATGCTGTAAGAGTAAACACAAAGGTTTTGAAATTTTTGAATAGTCTGATAAACCTTTTATAAAATCCAGCATGACCAAGAAGTTTCTTATTCCTTTAATAGTGGTAGGTTCTTGTAGTTTTTTCAATTACTTAAAGTTTAGCTTTGTTCACCTCAACTTCTTTTCTGAAATTAAATGTCTCGTAAGAATTCTTTATTTAACCATGAAATAAAAAACTTCCTTCTTAAGAACTAAATCAGTTTCTTCATACATTTCAAGAATCTTTTTCAAATCTTCCAGATATTTATCAAAAGATGACCCATGCACTGAAAAATCATCCATAAATATTTCCATGGATTTTTCAAGCATGTCAGAAAATATGGAAATCATGCATCTATGAAAGATTGCAGGAGCATTGTAAACTCCAAAATGGCATTCTCCGAAAGGACAAAAGTACCATAAGGACAAGTGAAGGTGGTATTTTCCTTGTCTTCTAATGATATGGCTATTTGATTGTATCCTTAGTATTCATCCAAGAAATAGTAATACTCTTTACTAGTTAATCTATGCAACATTTGATCAATAGAAGGCAATGGAAAATGGTCCTTTTTGTAGCCTTGTTTAGTCCACGGTAATCTATGCAAATTCTCCAGTCGGATACTACTCTAGTGGGGATGATTTCATTTTCGTCATTGGTAATGACTGTGAACCCTCCATTCTTTGGAACACATTGGACTGGACTAACACAAGAACTACTGGCTTTTGGGAAAATAATTCTCGCATCTAACCATGTTAATGTTTCCTTTTTTACTACCTCTTGCATGAAAGGGTTTGAACTTCTTTGTGGTTCTATGGATGTGAAGTTCTTGTCTTTTAGGATGATTTTATGTTGAAAAAGAGATGGACTAATCCTTTTAAGGTCAACAATGGGGTAAAACTCTTTTGTTAACTATTTTTCAACGACTCAAACGCTACAACATGCAATGGGATAGTATCATCCTCTATTAAAGCTAACTCCTCAATAGTCTCTTCATTAGGGATGCACATAGGTTGGGTTGGTTGGGTTAAAGGACTTTGAATAACCCAACCCAATATTTACGGTTTGAAAAATCTCTACCCATCCCAACCTAATAAAAACTACAACCCAACCCAAACTGTGTGGGTTGGGTTAGGTTGAAACTTTGGTATATCATTTTACCATCTAACTAATCGTTTGTGTTTAAAAAAAAGTAATATAAAAATAAGAACATACAAAGGCTAACAAACTCAAAAAAAGGTTGAAGGTTCATACGAATAAGAAAGTAAAATTACAATTGAAATTGTAATATAATTTTGAATATAGACAACTACAGGTTGGTCTAATGTCTACTAGATATATATTAATGTTGGGTTTTAAACTTTAATTGTAATTATACTCAAGGTGTAAGGGCTTATCTTGTAAATAACTTTGGGGTATAAATACATTTGTGTTAGTTTGTTTAGAAAATCAAGCTCTTTCATTGTGTAAACGTATCTTGTAAATCTCCTTTTCAATATCAATACAAAGATGATTTCTTGAAGCTTTTGTTTATACAACTTGATTCTGGGTTTAACAATTGGTAATGTGTGGTACTTAGATTTGGGTTGTTCTAAACACATGACTGGAC